AAAAAAAAAAAAAAAAAAAAAAAAAAAAAAAAAAAAAGAAAATTATTAAAATTTGTGGGAAAAAAAGGACAATATAAGCCTGTTCAAATATAACTTTTTTTTCATGATTGAGGGAAAGTACTGGAAAAATATATCTAAAATATTGCTTCTGCTTTAAGGTGTCAGTATGGTGGATCATATTTCCTGTTTTCCGAACATTTTTACAATGTATTTTTGCTTTAAAAAGTAATGTAGTGAAAAGATCAGCCAGATAGCCACATATCATGTTACTTCTGAACAATTTCAGGGATTTGTAAAATTACCTAGCTTCAGTTTGAAAAATACCAGCAGCAGAAATCCTACTGACGAGTATTTCCTGTCGTCCTTTGAAAAATTACGGATCACCCAAAAGCACAACAAAGGACCACTTCTAACCTGCTTAAATGGTAACAAAACTGTCACATTCAGTGATTGTTTACAAAACTCATTGTAAATATGAATGTACCTCATCATATATGCTCCCATTAATATCTGCACCATAGATGGGGGCCACAAAAGTCAAGTTCTTCCAGTACTTGCGTTCCAAATCTTCGTAATCCAAGTATCTTGGAGTACAGTATCTGTAAAAGGTAGATTTTAAAAAAGTACAAACCAGTAAGTCAGCTTTAGGGTTTTTTCCCACAAAATTGATCTACATTGCTTTCTTAAACTTAAAATCTTACCAAAATGAAAATACCGCATGTTGTCAAATTTAACAAGTAAACATATAAATGGATTTACATAGTGACCTGAATATTCTTAAGATTGCTAAATAACTCAATATCACTTTACATTTTATTAGAAAAATACTTTCATAAGGCCGGGCGTGGTGGCTCACGCCTATAATCCTAGCACTTTGGGAAGGCGAGGAGGGTGGATCATGAAGTCAGGAGACTGACACCATCCTGGCCAACATGGTGAAGCCCCATCTCTACTAAAAATACAAAAAAAAAAAAAAAATTAGCTGGGCATGGTGGCGCATGCCTATAAACCCAGCTACACAGGAGGTTGAGGCACGAGAATCACTTGAACCCAGGAGGAAGAGGTTGCAGTGAGCCCAGATTGCACCACTGCACTCCAGCCTGGTGATAGAACAAGACTGTCTCAAAAAAGAAAAAAAAGGAAGAAAAGAAAAGTACTTTCATGAAAACATGAACAATAAAAGCAGAAAAGTAGTTCAAAAGTCATTATTTTAGGTTTCGAAGTATTTTTTAAATCTTTAATCAACTACACTATGGTAAGAAATTTTACATGTTTATATAAAAATGACATAACAGAGAAACAATGATAAACAATAATCTTGCTAAAAATCTACAAAAGGAAAGTTAAAATAAGATATTCTGCAGCTATTAGATTGGCAAATGCTGAATACATTAATTGCAGGAAAATAATGAGACCTCTTAGACAACTTAGTGGGAATATACGCCAGTACAACCATTCCAGCACATAATTTTTCAACATGTGTAAAAAGCTTTTAAAAATCGATATATTTGATGCAATCTAACTTTAGAAATTTACCCTAACAACACAGGTATGTGTACAATGACAGTCGACTCAAGATATTTGCTGCACCATTAATTGAAAACACAAGTCAATATCTATCAACTAGTGATTAGCTAAAAAAAAAAAAAAAGATATAGAATATAAAACAAGATAGATCTTTTAAAATACTGACATCGAATTCTATTCACAGTGAATAAAGCAGGTTACAGAACAGTGTGTATACTATATCCTCATTACATTTAAAAAAAAAGAAAAAACTGTAATTGTATATTAAGTCACCAGAAAGAAATGTCCAACAAATTATTAATATTAATGGTTATCTCTCACATAGAAATTACAGAAAAGCACTTACTTCTCTGTATTATTAGGAATTTGAACAATAATCTTACTACAAAAAAGGAATACCAATGTTTCTTGAGGAAGAAAATGAGCAAAGAAAGAAGCAAAGGAGAAAATAATGAAATGAAGTTAAAAAGGTATTTAGCAGTAGTAGAATACCTATGAAATATACTGGACATTTTAGATTGGCTAATTATAGAACAACCAACATCTATACTCACTATACCAGGGACCTCAAACTAGTTATCTGTATAACAAGAAGACCAAATAATTTAACAACTACATTCAAAATACCAAACAACTTGGCCAGGTGCAATGGCTGACACCTGTAATCCCAGTACTCTGAGAGGCCGAGGCAGGCAGATCACAAGGTCAAGAGATCGAGACCATTCTGGCCAACATGATAAAACCCTGTCTCTACTAAAAATACAAAAAATTAGCTGGGGGCTGTGGCATGTACCTGTAGTCCCCGCTACTCGGGAGGCTGAGGCAGGAGAATTACTTAAAGCCAGGGGGCGGAGGTTGTGGTGAGCCAAGATTGCACCACTGTACTCAAGCCTGAGCAACTGAGCGAGACTCCAACTCAAAAAAAAAAGAAAGTTTCACTTCTCCATTAATAAGATCTGAAAGAATAAGACTCTATTAATGCCCACCCAAAAAATTCAAAAGAAAGGGTTTAAATTACATTAAACATAAAATTTTCAATTTCTTTGGAATAGCCAGAATGTTCCATAGAAGGAATGTAACACACAGAAGTCCTCAAGTAGTATCACGTGCTTACTATATGAAATATAATTTTTTTAAAGAAAGATACCTAAATCCGAGTCACGGCACCAAAAAAAAAAAAGAAAAGAAAGAAAGAAAGGTACCTAAATTCATCCAAAATCTTAATTTCATTCACACCCATCCAAGGGAATTTGGAAACTATATTTTTTAGTTGGTCTCAGATTTTGTTTTATTTTGTTTTTGTCAGATTTATGTTTTGATCTGGGGCCTTAATTATCATATCTGAATTTTTTAAAAGAACTTTAATAATAATAATTGTGACAATGTTTAAATATACCCACAAATTCACTGACACTCATCCCTTCAAGAAGTAGAGCTTGATTCTCCTCCCCTTGACTGTAGGCTACACTTAACTGGCTTGTAACAAACAGAACACGGCAGGTGTGACAGTGTGTCACTTCTGAAACAGGTCATGAAAAGACATGTGGTTTCCTTCTTGCTATCGCTCTCAGATCTCTTGCTCTGGGAGAAGCCAGCTGCCATGACATGAGGGGCAGTCCATCTGAAAAGGAACTGAGGACCTCATCAAAAGCCATGTAAGGGGAGCACTCTTGTAAGAGAACCTTCTAGTTACAGTTAAATGCTCAGATGACTGTAGCCCAGCCAACAACCTAATGGCAACCTCACAAGACCTTGAGGCAGAACCACCTAGCTAAGCCACTCTCAGATTCCTGACCTTCAGAAATTATGGGTTGGTTTAAGCAGCTAAGATTTGGAATAATTCGTTACACAGAAATAAATAACTAATGCAATGGTGACCTTTCCAGTCACTCAAGGTTTGCTTTTAAAAGTACTGATCTTCTAAAATCATTTAAGGATTAAATGTTGTCAAACACACACCAAAAAAATTACCCAACAGATATGAATCATATGTAGAATCAAAAACTCATGGCAACTATAAGGTAAGAAGTTCCATTTATAGCCACTATAAATGAGATAATAAAATGAAGAACAATTTCTTTCTTTAACACTAAGCTAAATGTTCAGGCAACCACCTAAAGAACAGAAGACAGAAATGGTTAAATGAAGGTTGAAAGACACTGCATGGGAGACTCCTGCTTTTCATTATAAACAGCTCTGTCTACTTTGTTTCTTAACATATTTACGTAAATATTTGAAGGAAACAGAAATAGCAAACTGATTCTACTCACTTGCCACTGTTGGCCAGCTGCCTGAACTCCTTTACGGTCATCGCTTTTTTCTGGATGTTGTACTGAGTGAACAGTCCTGACTGCCCTGTGACCATCTGCTGAATTGGTGCTGGAATGAGCAAATTATCAATGTCATCATAGCACTGTCTTGGCTTCCACTCCTTAGGAGGAATCACCTAAAAATAAAATAATGAAATAAAGTATCATCTTGAAAAGATTCCAAGTAATTTAGCTTTTAAGTATTCTGATAAAGCACAACTGAAGAATTCCTCAGTCTATGACAAATGTGTAAAAAAAAAAAATGGTTATTTGCAAAAGAGCAATATGACGTTATTCACCACCAAAATGTATTAAGTACTCACTATGCCAAACACTGTACTTATACTAACTCATTTTGAATAGGTATTATTAATATCTTGATTTTAAAGATAAAATTGAAAGACACACAGAAGTAAAACGACCTGAAGTTAAAATGACTAAAGACTACTTAAGCTGAAATTCTAACTAAAACAGTTTGAATTCACAATGAGCCATTATGTTAACCTGCCTCTCAACAGACGAAATTATGTTTACATAAATAATTTCTTTCCCAAAGAAGTTCATCTTTATTGAACAGGATCTAAGCATGTAACTATGTGCTATTTACATTATGAGAAAAATAAGTAAATTTATAGTAGACAATATATTCTTTATAGGCTTCTCACACAGTATGGCAATAGAACAGTAGTATGCTAGTAGATGTTTAATAACCAGCTTTCCAGAAAGGTGGAGGAAACCCTGATTTGTAGCTTTTGCCCATTTCTAGGATATAACTACTCCCACCATGGTCAATCTGAACCTACCAATGTGACATCACTATATATGGAGCTGGAAAGAGATGTCCATTATTTTTTTTTCCTTTTGTGAGATGGAGTCTTGCTCTATGGCCCAGGCTGGAGTGCAATGGCACAATCTCGGCTCACTGCAACCTCTGCCTCCCAAGTTAAAGCCATTCTCCTGCCTCGGCCTCCCAGGTAGCTGGGACACAGGCATGCACCACCACGCCCAGCTAATTTTTTTGTATTTTTAGTAGAGATGTGGTTTCACCATGCTGTCCAGGCTGGTCTCAAACTCCTAACCTCAAGTGATCCGCCCACCTCAGCCTCCCATAGTGCTGGGATTACAGATGTGAGCCACTGCACCCAGCCGAGATGTGCACTATTAACTCTCAAATGCCCGTATAAGGTACCTCAGCACACCACTGTTAACCTGTAGTATTTAAGCACTTAATTACTAAGAAAGAAAAGATCTAGAAACATTAAGACCAAAATACATATTGATAGGATTTAAAATTAGAAGGTACTGGCCAGCATGGTGGCTCACACCTATAATCTCAGCATTTTTAGAGGTCCAGACGGGTGACTCACTTGAGGCAGGAGTTCTAGACCGCCTGTCCAGTATGGTGAAACCCCATCTCTACTAAAAATATTAAAATTACCTGGGTGGGATGGCAGGCGCCTATAATCCCAGGTACTCAGGAGGCTCAGGCAGGAGAATCGCTTTGAACCCAGGAGGTAAAGGCTGCAGTGAGCTAAGATCATGCCACTGCACAGCAGGCTGGGTGACATAGTTAGATTCCATCTCAAAAATAAATAAATAAAATAAAATAGGCCTGGCACAGTGGCTCAAGCCTGTAATTTCAACACTTTGGAAGGCCGAGGTGGATAGATCACGAGGTCAGAAGATCGAGACCATCCTGGCTAACATTGTGAGACCCCGTCTCTACTAAAAATACAAAAAATTAACCAGGCATGGTGGCATGCACCCGTAGTCCCAGCTCCTTGGGAGGCTGAGGCAGGACAATCACTTGAACCTGGGAGGCAGAGGTTCCAGTGAGCAGAGGTCACGCCACTGCACTCTGTCGGGCAACAGAGCAAGACTCCATCTCAAAATAAATAAATTAATTAATTAAAATAAAATAAAGTTAGAATGTACAAAGTCATGAAGTAATTCATGAGTTGTGGCTAGAAGTTTTCTTTTTGTTTTTTCTTTTATTTTTGGTAGAGACAGGGTTTCACCATGTTGCTCGGATTGGTCTCAAACTCCTGAGCTCAACTGATCCCCCTGTCTTGACCTCCCAAAGTGAATTACAGGCATGAGCCACTGCGCCTGTCCACTTTACCACCTTTAGAAGTTGTTTTAGTTTTTTAAAACAATCTTTTTAAGGTTTTTTTAATTGAAAAATATAGCACACGTGTAAAAAATGCGTAATCACAAACACACAGCTCTGTGAATTATTACAAAGCAAACACCAAAGGACACACTGGCCTCAAGTAATCCACCTACCTTGGCCTTCCAAAGTGCTGGAATTACAGACATGAGTCATTATGCTTAGCCCTTTTTTTTTTGAGACGGAGTTTCACTCATGTTACCCAGGCTGAAGTGCAATGGCGCGATCTCGGCTCACCGCAACCTCCGCCTCCTGGGTTCAGGCAATTCTCCTGCCTCAGCCTCCTGAGTAGCTAGGATTACAGGCACGTGCCACCATGCCCAGCTAATTTTTTGTAGTTTTAGTAGAGACGGGGTTTCACCATGTTGACCAGGATGGTCTCGATTTCTTGACCTCGTGATCCACCCGCCTCGGCCTCCCAAAGTGCTGGGATTACAGGCTTGAGCCACCGTGCCCGGCCATTTTTTTTTTTTTTTTATTTTTGTAAAGATGTGGTCTCACTATGTTGCC